TTAAAGACGTCGGTGGACACTTCTTTTCTTTATATTTCATTCTATTTCGCGTTAAACACGGTAAACAGGAAAAAAAAAAGTTTTTATCCTCAAGCCATTTTTTTTAATGTTCAGTATCTTATTTATTTTATTCATTATTAAATTATTTAGCATATAAAACAAGTTAATGAATAACAATAAGAGACGTAGAAGAAAAAGGAAATCGGTCACAGCTATACAGTACACACACTTTTATTAGAAATATTGATTAAATAATACAAAATGATCAAAATATACTTACAGAGAATTTACAATATTCAAAGTTAAAATAATTGTGATAATTATGAAAATCACAGAGGATTTTTTTTTTTTTTGAAATTTAGTTATCCAAAATGGAAGAAATTCCAAAAAGAAACCACAGGACTTATGACATTTGGACTGTCTTTTCTGAACTAAGAATATAATATATGATGAATATAATATATGATGCGGTGAAAATATTGTCATTAATATAGTGCAAAAGTACAAGAGTCTGTTATAAATAGTATTTTCAAGTTAGGTGTAATCTTTTGGTGAAAAAAAGATAAAAAAGCATTGTAAATCGATTATACGTATAGTATTAATATCGATCGCTGTCACAATCTAAGCCTGTGTTTAGCGCCAACTAATATGGCTTATTTTTTAGATTTTTATAGCTATCAAAAGCGCTTTACTTTCTGAATTACGAATCATCATGACAGTGAAGCTAGCGGAAAATACAATGACAGCACTCACATCTCCTCTAGAAAAATAGTGATTCTTTTACACCCCTTGTTTTAGAACAATTCCTAAAGCATTTACAGTGCGATAATTGCAAGAAGAAGCTTATTTATTTACACGCTTATCGAAGTAATAATTCTTGGTTTGCAATCAATCCCAAGAGAGCACAATAACAAAAGGGATGTCCGCCATGTTGGAAGATATAACATAAGAATTCATTAAAAAATGTTTTGTCAAATTCTTCCAACATGGCGGCTATGACGTCTATTGCAAACGAAAAATATGTCGAAATTCACTAAAGCTTGGAAATAATTATAATTTTACTTAATACAGCTGGATATGGAGCATTCTTTATCGTAAAACCAGAAAACGAGTTTTAAAAGGTCGTACAGAAAAGAATCCTCGATTTTCAACTTATGCAGAGGTGATTTAAAACAGTCCAAGCTGTCAGCCGGTTTTCCTCCCTTTCGTAAAAACCAACATTTAAGTTGCGTGCATAAAATATGCATGGTAGTGGTTGTGATAGTGAATGTAGTGGTAGTGAGTGTGAGTGAAAGCAGGCCCACATCAGCGAAAGCAGCCAAAATAATCAGCCTGCTATAACAAATAAAAAGATTAATGATTATGATTATCCTTGTGAAATTAATTGCTCGCATTTCATAGAAGCTAGAAAAACCCTGTTTTACTAAACAAGTTTTGGTGTAAATGGAGTATTAGTTTACCTAATCGATTTGATATACTCTAGAATATTTCCTGATACTTAATGCAAAATATTGCCAAATATTTGATTTTGACGACTCATTCTTAAAAGCAAATTGGCTAATATGTATGTAGCAAAAACATATTGTGTTTTGCCATTGTTGCCGTTGATCAATTCAAAGAAAGACCGAAAACAATGAAGTCAGAAAGAGAATGGTTAGTTTGATTAAAATGGCGGGAAACTTATGGGCCGCCGTTACCACCAAAAATACATCAAGAGTTTAGTTAAGAATGTTAAATGGTCTAGCTTGTAGTCAAATGGCTTAGCTAACAGTATTTTATCCTCACATGCATACTCATTACCGACTCACGGGAATTAAGATACGGAAGGTGACCGCGACTGCTGGCAATGAGCATGCGAAAAGCATGTGATGCGTCGTCAACCGCCACCAGGGGAGGTGGGTGGGGTGAATCTTCTACTCTCTCCTTAGGCAGCTTCCGACGGAATGATTCAAGGATCTGGGTGTGGTGCTTATATATGCAGGGGTCGCAAAGCATTACACCTGCACACCTGCAAATCAAGATTATCTCTACACAAACGACGAAGACGAAGAAATTGCGAAAAAGGAATAGCGTTAAGAGTGTGCTTAGGATGAGAGGACGAGTAGAGTAAATAAGAATGAGAATCAGTAGGTTTGTAATGGTGTAACACTAGTGTCAAGGAAAGTGACTGATGTATCGCTAACTTCCCACGGTAAAGTCTAAGGCAGGGTGAAAAGAGTTAACAAAAGAGGTGAAGGAATCTAAGTCATTACGATAACAAGAAGTAGCACCAATACACTCATCAATATACCGTCCAAAAAAAAAAACAGGTTTAGGTCCAGTATGCTGTAATTAGGACCCATCAAGGTACCCATAGCAACACCGTTTACCTGCCAATAATGCCATTGTTAATAGTCCATTAACTATGATAATACTGATCACCGAAAGAAAAACGATTAAGAGTAAGAACAAGTTCAGCTAAGCGTAGCAAAGTGGGAGTACTAGGCTCGAAGATAGGAGGAAGATCGAAAAAATGCTGAAGGGCACGAAGGTCCTCATCATTAGGAATGACAGTATACAAAGATTTGACATCCATAGTATACAAGAGCTTAGAAGAGTTATCAGGAAAGCGAAAATAATTAAAAATACTAAGAGCGTGATTAGTATCCTTAATACAAGTAGGTAAAGACTGAACAATAGGCAACATGAGAATCTAGACTCCGGTAGCTAGAGATGAGTTCGGTAGGTCATGAACTACAGGCAGAAACAATAGAACGACCAGGATTGTTAGCTTTGTGAATCTTAGGACGAAAATAGACGTGAGAAGTACGAGGAGTAATAACAATGAGGTTTTTAGCATTGGAAGGTAAAGAGCCGTCAGAAATGAAAGAGTTTACGATGTCCTTGACTAACGTTTGATTGTCAGGGGTAACATCCTTATCCACTTCACAATAAAAATCAGCGTCAGAGAGTTGACGTAAAGCCTCTAAGTTGTACAGGTCGGTACATCAAACAAAAACTGCACCGCCTTTGTCAGCGGGCTTGATGACAATGTCAGAACGATTGCGTAATCGACCTAAAGCCAACCACTCGTCCTTAAGAAAGATTACAATAGCTGAGTTTACGGTTAAGATTGAGATTAGAAATATCACGGCGACACTTTTTGACAAAAAATTCAAGAGAAACAAATTGTCCCTCGGGAGGGACGCAATTGGACTTACGAGGACAGAGGCGCTCAAAGACATCACGTTCACAGTCAGTTAGAGTTAGAGACCGAGTCGGAGAAATAAGGCTTTAAGGCGACTACGGCGAAAGAAAGATTCAGAACCTTTCTTGGCCGGAAATTTATCAGATTTCTTAGCAAGAGGAACGAAGTTTAAACCTTTGCTAAGAACTGAAATTTGAATCAGAAAGAGGTAAATCTTCGGGAATGGTGACACAGAATGACTAGACCTTACTAATGTTTTCCAATTGTTTTTTCTTCAATTTTTTACAAAATTTGTCGCGAATATATGGTTTGCACTTGGCATGCACTCTACTATCCTCATGATTATTTAAGCTAAATTACAATAAAAATCATAATATCGATAAGAATCCTACTTATGCTAAAGTCCGAGTGCATTGGTATTCAGCGATCGATTGAAACATGCTTTGTCGACTTGGAAAAAAAAAACAACTTTATAATTGTAAAATCATTTAATATTTTTGGGAAAAAGGCGCCACTAACTAAATGTAAAATATTCAAAATATTCAAAGACCATAAAATTGAGTATAAACATTGATCGCTACCGTTTCACTTGGAAACGACTGTAAATTATCTCGTGTAGAAAATAGACATTAAATAAGATTTATATGTTTCATTTAGTAAATATATTTATAGAGAAGTTAAGTACGTTTGATCGTGTGTAGTACTCGTCGTCTTGGTTACCACCTGGGCGCAGTCGCGAAAACTCATGTTGAAGGCTGGAAAGAAAGAAAAACACATGCAGATGTCAGAGTGACAGCTTTGCTATGGCGAAAACATTCAACTTTTCTATGGTTTTTGGATTCTGTTTGATAATAGTTTTAATTTTCAAAACTGCGAATCCCATGATCTTTGAAGGAAAGACGAGTTTTCATTGTGGAGATAATCGCTTCTCAATTGGTTCTCTATTTAGTGCAGAAAATGTTGCTCTCTCAGGGTACGTTACCAAGTCAGTATGGACTCGATCTTTGGTACACTGTAATCAAGTGTGCTTGGCAGAACCAGATTGGTGTGTTTCAGTCAACTTTGATACCAAAATAGACCAGGAAAAGAATAAAAATCTCTGTGAACTGAATAGCCATGGGATAAGACAAAATGAAGAATTCCTTGCAAATAAATTTCAAAGTAGAAGAGGTTTTATTTTCAGTCAAATTAGACCCGCGAAGGTAAGACATTTTCACTTTTTTATTGACTCCTTCCTCTTCCCTTTCTTCCTTCCTTTCTTCTTTCCTTACTTTCTTCTTTTCTTTCTTTCTTTCTTTTATTCTCTCATTCATTCATTCTTTCTTTCTTTCTTTCATTCTTCCTTTCTTTCTTTCTTTCTTTTGCTTAAGACTAGTAATGAATTTATCATGATTTCCGAGCTGATCTAGAAATGCTATCTAAAATAATTTTCCCGTTATAGATCGAACCGATGTTCAATCATAAGCTGTTGTGAGATTATTCATTTCTCGTGTTTTTTTATTCACTCCTCTTGCAAAATAAAAGTAAAATACCGAGTTGTTCGTAGGTTTTGCAAACAATTATGAGCCTCAAACTGCATGTAATCCTATTTATCATTCTGTAACACTGCTGGAACCTTTGACAAAAACCATTCTGAAATTCCAGTTGATTAATTAATCAGACAAATTAACTTTGATATTGCTCTTCACTGATCCATCTATTCTTTTTTTTTAAACTTATATTTATCTCAAAAGACCTTCATATTCCCATTAGTTATATTTCCAAACTAATAAAAATATTATGAGCCGCCTTCTAATTTTTTTTTATAAATGTAATTTCTTAAATTTTATTTGCATCGCGCCATCTTACTTTATGACTTTGCACAAATTGCCCAATTCATTTTTTGAAGGACTTAAGGGTGGCTGAGAAAGTCGAAATGAAGTGCACACATGACAGCTGCATTTTATATTTGCGGCTACAGCAAGTAAAATTATATAGCAACAGAACAGGCCGATATCGTCCGACGAACAAGAAGTTACTTTATTACTTTGTTTGAACAAAGTCGGCTACTTCAAAAATCCAATTGACAATACTTTTCTGGTTTGCACTTCTAAGTCAACATACAAACTTCTTCTCTTCTCTTCTCTTCTCTTCTCTTCTTCTTATCATTTTTTTCAGTATGTATTCACATTGAAATTCATTTTCATAATTCCTTTTCTTTTGGTGAAAGTTGTAGATTCGATGGAGTGGATAATACATCTATTGTTTTACAAATACTCCCGACACTAAGTCGAGCAAACATCGGAATGAACCTGTAATGTGCGGAAGAGACCAAAATCAACAACCGCTTAGTCTATCAAAAGAAATGAAATTCAAACAAGCTTTTCCGTTTTGCGATGACAGAGCTAAATAATTTCCTATGACAGTTATCTATCGTAATTCGATTCTGGGCAACTCAAACTCTGATGTGTAAAGTGCCTCTTTGTGAAATTTGGAGGATATTTTTTTAAATATCCGCCATTTTTAAATATATACAAATTTTGAAACTCANAAATATCCGCCATTTTTAAATATATACAAATTTTGAAACTCATCAAACTCTGATGTGTAAAGTGCCTCTTTGTGAAATTTGGAGGATATTTTTCTAAATATCCGCCATTTTTAAATATATACAAATTTTGAAACTCATCAAACTCTGATGTGTAAAGTGCCTCTTTGTGAAATTTGGAGGATATTTTNTCTAAATATCCGCCATTTTTAAATATATACAAATTTTGAAACTCATCAAACTCTGATGTGTAAAGTGCCTCTTTGTGAAATTTGGAGGATATTTTCCTAAATATCCGCCATTTATAAATATATACAAATTTTGAGATTTTAGAAATTCTTAATCTCATCCTATAATTACTTATTACAAGGACAATTACAGAACTCGCATACGGCAAAATTATACCAAACGTATCTTTCCTTGTTTTTCACGTTTTAACAGTAAACTCCATAAACTGAATAAATCATAAATTTTGCCAACATTTTTAAAACCGAGCTAAATGTTTGGCAAAATTTTTTTTTTTTAATTTACGTTAAAGAAATAATTTCACAAATTTGACATGGAATTAAAGTGAGGAGTATTTTTGAAAGTGTTCTTCTCTCAAAGGGTAACTTGATTTTGCTGCACATTTCAAATAGGTGATTTGGAATCTACACGTGCAATGCATTGTTTGGCAAAATGAAAATTTCGAAGTGATTTTCTACTATCTATTGTCAAAACCCAAATATGTTTTCACCGTTAAACTATGACGCAACTTATGCTATTCTTAGAAGATATTTAAAGAAATCTTTCCACGGATGAGTCAGCTTATTTTCTTTATTTTCAAGTAAAAGCTGTTACCGATTTAAGTTGAGCCAAAAACTTGGAGCTAGGAAATATTGAGCTACGAAAAGTGTTCGCTGATGATTGGCTAATTCGTTCAAACTATCTGAGAGTTCTAAGAGAAATCGCCTACCTAGTAATAGACTTTCAAATAAGATAAAATCGTTTAAATGTTGAGAGGATTTGGGTAATACAGAGGATTTTTGTTCGTGGTATACGTCAATGAAAGGTTAATATTATGGCGATTTAGGGAAGAGGTTTTTGATAGTTTCTAAAAAAATCCAGGCGTACCAGACACTATTTGAAAGATGTTTTTTTTTTTTTACTCTAAGCTTTTAAGATATAGCTTAACTTTCGATTGATAAATATACATACTTTCAGCTATCTATAGACCACAGACACATTTATTATTATTTTATCAGTGTAACCTGCAAAAGACATTTACGTTTCAAAAGGTTCGTCGCTTTTCTCATCTTTGGGAAAGTCCAAAGCACAATTTTTGTAAGGATATTTTTATTTTTATTTATTTTTTAATTTTTGAAATTTTTTTTCATTATTTTTTGACATTTTTTTAAGTATGGCTGTTCTTGTGAAAATGGCGGTACATGCGACAATGACTGCTCATCTTTTGAAGTCAAATGCCGCTGTACAGAAGGTTTTTACGGCACAAAATGTGAATGTAAGTAGCTCGAATGATATATGTTAAAGGCTTTTCTGTAGTAGTTTAAGATATTCATCATCAAGAATTTTTAAAAAAACTTTCTAACTTTAGATATCGACAATTGTCAAGGAATCACATGTGAAAACGGCGGAACTTGTAAAGACTTGGTGAACAACTTCACTTGTTCGTGTGTGCCTGGTTACACAGGACGATTCTGTGAGAATGGTGAGCTACAAGTAGATGAAATTCTCTCTTTTAAAAGAAACTAATAGCCGCCATCTTTACTTTATGTACATATCTCAGTAGATTGTGAGGATAGCCCAAAGCAAACTGCACGTGACAAGGATAAAGTCAAAGGACTAACTATAACAACTACTAAAATATTATTATTTTGGAAGCAAAATGTAATTCAGTTTACGGTATTCATTCTTGATTTATTATCTTCAGACATCGATGATTGTCAGGGGATCACATGTGAAAACGGCGGAACTTGTCAAGACTTGGTGAACAACTTCACATGTTCGTGTGTGCCTGGTTACGAGGGACGATTATGTGACAATGGTGAGGTGAAATTCTGTGATTAAAAGAAGCATTTTTGTTTACTTCCATATATGCTTGAAAATGTAAATATGTCTCAGTAGATTTTGGGGATAGCAAACCGCACGCCAAGGATCCAGACGAAGGCCTAAACATTTCCAGAAAATGCATTATTTCTTTTAAAAACAAACTTTCATTATTTCCATTTTTCTTTTCCTTTCTTTCTTTTTACCTTTTCTTGTCCCTAGATATCGATGATTGTCAAGGAATCACATGTGGAAACGGCGGAACTTGTAAAGACTTGGTGAACGACTTCACATGTTCGTGTGTGGCTGGTTACACAGGACGATTCTGCGAGAATGGTGAGCTAGATGAAATTTTTTCTTTTAAAAGGAACTTTTAGCCGCCATCTTTACTTTATGTACATATCTCAGTAGATTGTGAGGATAGCCCAACTCAAACCGCACGACAAGGATAAAGTCAAAGGAATGTAGCAATTTCTAAAAATATTATTTTTGAAGCAAAACGTAATTCAGTATATGATTTTGTATTCTTAATTTCTTGTCTTTAGATATCGATGATTGTCAAGGAATCACATGTAGAAGTGGTGGAACTTGTAAAGACTTGGTGAACAACTTCACATGTTCGTGTGTGCCTGGTTACACAGGACGATTCTGTGAGAATGGTGAGCTAGATGAAATTCTCTCTTTTAAAAGGAAAATGTCTACATGTACATGTGTCAGTGAAGTTTGAGAATATGCAGATTAAGACTCCCGTTTTTCCTTCCCGCAAACGGCAAACGTGACCACGTTTTCATCGTTTCCCTACATTTCACTTTACCTTTTGCAAACCTCCTCGACAAAGACAAGTATTCTTTTGTTTATCTATTACTTGGAGATTTTTACGAATCCTTTTCACTATTTTTAAAATAACATTTAAGTGGGCAACTGACGTTTCACGTTTGCCGTAAACGACAATCTTAAACTCTCTAAATACCTACACAAAACGCACGCCAGGAATTTGGTCAAACGGCTAAAGAATTTTCAAGGAAACTTTATTATGTAAAGCAAAAGTTAAATAGTATGTAGTATAAATGTTCTATTTTCTTATATTGGAAGATTTTATGCCCTCCATGGTACGTTGTGCGTTGATATGAAAAAGCTAGATTAGGAAATAGACCCCAAAAATAAAGAAAATCGAACCAAAAAGCGGTACCCAAAGCAAACCTCTTTATGGCCACCTCATATTTTTCTGTTACTATAGATATCAATGATTGTCAAGGAATCACATGTCAAAATGGCGGGACCTGTCAAGACTTGTTGAATAACTTCACATGTTCGTGTGTGCCTGGTTACACTGCACGATTCTGTGAGGGTAAGTATCTTTAAGGTAACGAGGTTACTGAGCTATATGATGTTGTTGGGGATTTCGTGTGTCACGACTCTTGATTCTGAATATCCTGAACTTGCCATTCATGCCAGCTGGGAAACAGTGACATACATACATTATAAGATATCGATGACGTCTTTTGCAATGTTTCCCAACATTTTGTGAATATGTGTCTATATAATAAAAAGAAAATTAAACTTTGGCTGGAAGGCTCCAAATAAAAACTATCTACATGCGCAGCTAGCCAGGGCTCCAAAGTCGTTGAAACGTTCTATTTTGAGCTCGCAACATATTTACAGCCGGAGAAATTAAAGATGTTCTCCGATGAGTGCAAACTTATTCAGCGAAAGGCTCTTAAGGGAAGGTATGTAAGCACAAAAGGGACTTTGACAATTTCTTTCGGGACTTGATTTCAACTGCAAAACCCAATTTTCTTCACCGTATCTTTGTCTTTAGATATCGATGACTGTCAAGGAATCACATGTAAAAACGGCGGAACTTGTCAAGACTTGGTGAACAACTTCAAGTGTTCGTGTGTGCCTGGTTACACGGGACGATTTTGTGAGAATGGTAAGTGAAATGTCCGCTCTCTTTCGAAAGGAACTTATAGCCGCCATGCATCCTTACTTCATGTACATATCTCAGTAGATTGTGAGGATAGCCCAACTCAAACTGCACGTGACAAGGATAAAGTCAAAGGACTAACTATAACAACTACTAAAATATTATTATTTTGGAAGCAAAATGTCATTTATTATATGGTATTCATTCTTAATTTCTTATCTTCAGATATCGATGACTGTCAAGGAATCACATGTAAAAACGGCGGAACTTGTAAAGACTTGGTGAACAATTTCACGTGTTCGTGTGTGCCTGGTTACACGGGACGATTTTGTGAGAATGGTAAGTGAAATGTCCGCTCTCTTTCGAAAGGAACTTATAGCCGCCATGCATCCTTACTTCATGTACATATCTCAGTAGAGGGTTAAAGCAAAATGTAATTCAGTTTACGGTATTCATTCTTAATTTCTTGTCTTTAGATATCGATGACTGTCAAGGAATCACATGTGGAAACGGCGGAACTTGTAAAGACTTGGTGAACGACTTCACGTGTTCGTGTGTGCCTGGTTACACTGGTCGATTCTGTGAGAATGGTTAGTGAAATGTCTCTCTTTAAAAAGGAAAATGTCTAAGTACATGTGTAGCGCACGCGCATGTGACTCAGTGAAGTTTGAGAATACCTACACAAAACGTACGCCAAGGATTTAGTCAAAAGGCCTAAAAAAGTTTCTAGAAAACCTTATGTCCCGCTTTATGTTGCAAAGCAAAAGTTCAATAGTAGGCAGTATAAATATTCTATTTTCTTATATTGGAAGGTTTGTGAGATTGGTAGGAGATTAACTTCTTTATGCCCTCCATGTTACGCTGTGTATTGATATAAAAAAGCTAGATTAGGAAATAGACCCCAAAAATAAGGAAAGCCGAACCAAAAAGCGGGATCGACCTGAGAACGTCGTCAAATAACTAAAAATTTAAATTTAAATTCTTCAAGTTGTGGTAATGCGCATGCTTGCGCGGCACCCAACGCAAACCTCTTTATAGACACCTCACATTTTTCCGTTACTATAGATATCAATGATTGTCAAGAAATCACATGTCAAAATGGCGGGACCTGTAAAGACATGCTGAATAACTTCACATGTTCGTGTGTGCCTGGTTACACTGGACGATTCTGTGAGTGTAAGTATCTTTAAGGTAACGAGGTTACTGAACTATATGATGTTGTTGGCGATGTCGTGTGTCACGGCTATTGATGATTCTGAATATCCTGAACTTGCCATTCATGCCAGCTGGGAACATTCTACACGAGACCGGAAATGACGCGTATAGAGGAGGCCACGGCCATGGGTAACTTTATACAGACATAGGTGTTTCACTGGGAAATACGCCACTCTTATTTTTTATACGAACTATATATATCCGGACCTCAGTGACATACATACATTATAAGATATCGATGACGTCTTTTCCAATGTTTTCCAACATGTTTTCAACAAGTTTTTTATTTGTGAATGTCTGTATAATAAAAAGAAAAATTAAACGTTTGCTTCAAGGTATGAAGTTTATAATTTATCTTCTCGTGTTGAAAAATATTTCAGCACTCGAAGATAAACTTCAGATCTTCGCGCCACCGTGTAATTTCCTCTATATATTATGCCCAAGCAAAAAAAGATCTATATTGTTCATGTCTACGACGTCTTCTTTTTGCACACAGCATCAACCTGTGACATTACGTACGCTACGTATTCAGTCAATAATGTCATTCTATACCCATGGACTAAAGCAGCCTATGCCATGACCTTCTGTACRTGGGTACAGCTTAAAGACTCCAGGAACCAATACCCAGCTTCATTTAAGTACTCTAACCGTGGATTGGGATTCATGTATCGAACAGATGGGACTGTATTACTTCGTATAGACTCTAGCAGTATGTAAGTGTCATCTTTTTGCTGAGATTTATATAATGACATTTGTCTGGGTTTGCCTGCCATACAGTTTGTTTGTTTTTACGTTTTTACGTTTTTACGGGTTTTTTTTTTGTTGTTGTTGTTGTTGTTGTTTTTTTTTTGTTTTTTTTTTTTGTTTTTTGTTTTTTTTCTTTTTTGAGGGAGGCACGTTTTTCTATTCTTTCAACTTCTCTCCTTTTTTTCTTTAATTCTTTTCTTTTTATTTCATTAATTTCTTTTCTCTTGTTTTTTGTTTTGTTTTTAATCTGCTTTCTGTCTCTGAGACTTTAATTCAGTGGTTGCTTGTGCATGTTGTTTGTGTGTTTGGTTTGTTAGTTGTTTGTACTTTGAAGTAAAAACTCACACACCTAACATTGGCATACATGATCACAGTCCCTATGCAACTTGCTTGGATGCTTAAACACCAGGCCGAGCAGCCAAATATCTTTCTACTTTCAATGCCATTTATTTACAGAACCTTAAACATGAAGATCCAACGAGATGGTAACTGGCAACACCTGTGCATCGCATGGAGAAACACAGACGGCAATGTGTCCAGCTATCGTAACGGACAACTCGTAGATAGCCGGCGGTCCTTCACAACTGGGGGCTCAATCGTAGGAACTGGGACTTTAAACATCTGTAGGAGATCTGACCTCCGTGCTGCATTCATTGGGAAAATCAGCAACTTCAATATCTGGTCATATTTTATGACCGCTAAACAAATCGCGAGCATGGCCTCGAGTTGTCAACCGCTGACCAGTGAAGGAGATTTAGTCAGTTGGTCTAAAGTTAAGAATACGAGAATGGATGGACAAGTGTCTAAAGCCTGTCCTGGAACCTGTTATGTTTAGAGACTATACCGCATGATTTGGGTACTGAAGACTCACTTGAATCAAAAGTTATCCAAAATTACAGACGTCACTACATCATCGGTTTTTTGAACCACTACCGGTAGCGATCAACATCTTCACACTATAAAAGTGTTGAAGAAACAACATTGAACAGCAGAGACAAATAGAAGTTGTTGTCTTGTAGAGGGAGGGGAAGGGGGAGTGGAGGGTGGGGAAAGTTTTATACGTTGACGAAAAGTTCAGTTTTATGTTTTAATTTTGTTTACAAATCAAGTTATCCCCTTATCCAATTTCAAAACGGTTTTCGATTTTATAATTGTTAGCAGGTAAAGAGTAATAAGATATGCACTATAACCTGATGTCAACAATTCCAATTTTAAACATTCCTATTCTTAGGTCGTTTGCGCCCTACGTTCAGGGACTCACCCTGGGGTATCACTCACCTTAGATATACCCGTGCCTTCCTAAAAGTTTTTAGAAGAAAAAAATAATAAACCGATAATATCAAAGATAAGATATCTGATACGTTCAACACTCAGCTGAAAATTAAACAGTGTTTTTATGAATAGAGATTACGTCAATTGTAAATCAGTATAGTCCAAGGCATGCACTGATAGACTATATATATGTCAGTAAATTTCATTATAACAAAAAA